TCGAGTAAGAGTCTTCCCACTAGTGACAGGCCTGCTCATGGTCCTCAGAGAGAAACAACTCCTCAACCTCCCACTAGCACACACGGCACCACCCTTTTGCCATTTGGTTGCCATTGCTAGGGGTGGCATGCCAAAACAGAGGAAGGGTTCAAAAAGCAAGAGGGAATGAGCATAGTTTCATGTCTCGAGCCATTTGTCCCGGTTTGGAAGAAAAAGAAGGCAGAGTCCTTTGGAGAAATTTCCTGTTCCTCTAATCAGCAGAAGCTTTAGCAGGGAGCGGCTGAGCTAGGAGAACAATCCCAAACCAGCCCCCATTCTGTTAAGTGGCCCAGTCCCTGGTAGAGGCAGGCCCATGGCTGTCTGGGAGACTAAACAGTGTGTTCCACTAGACGGCAGGAAATCAGTCATGAATGCAAACTAATTGGAATACAACTTAGTCCTTTCCGGAGTGAAGTTTCCGGAAGCTCTCTTTCCAGCCTCTCTGAGCCCTTATGCATGCACAGGAATCGAGCAGCCAGCCATGCCGGAGTCAGAAAACAATTCCTCATTTCCAGGAGAGGGTGTGCTTTCAGGACAGGGCTGGGTTTTAGTGCAGGAGCCCTTTGGCCTGTGTAAACACTCAGACCACAAGCTGGTCTGCCTCCTCTCCGGGAGGAGGCACAGGGCCCCCTGCACTAAAGCGTGGAGCAGAGGGCCAGATGATGAAGCTCCTCCATTCCCCACAAGCCCAGACTGGGGGGTGGGGGGTGTTGGGAAACCATTCCAACCTGATGAACAAGGGAATGAATCAAACTGAAAGTTTGCCTTATGAAATCATGTCTTCATTGGTTTGCCCTCATTCCAGAGGAAAGAGTTCAGTTTTTTCTTTCCCTTTATTATTATTATTATTATTTTCTGTTTTCCCAGTCCAGTTCCTTTCTTGGCTTTCCTTCATTTCTCCTTAGGCCTCCTGTCCCTTGCTCTCTCTCTTCCCACATGGGAGGGTTCTTTGTGGGGGCATGGGATTCTTGTCAGCTGTTTCAGTTTAGTATTAGCCTCAGAGCCTTACAGCTTCTGTAAACAGGAGACCAGATGTGTGTGTGATTCCCTAAAGGATTCGCCCCAGCGCTCTTGTTCCAGAGTTTGCTTGCGAAGGAATGCCCCACAGGGAGGAAGCCTCTGTTTACCAGAAGAGCAAACAGGAGTGTCAAAAAGCCTATGGCTTGATAGCAGCAGCAACACCACTGCTAACAGCACTCAGCACGTACTTGTACTTTGTGTTCAGCCCATTACATATGTTATCGTACCATGTCACCCTAGCATTTCAGGGAGGTAGACACTCCCACTGCTCTCTGATATACAGACGAAGACACAGGCTCAGAGAAGTTAAGAGAATAGCCCAAGTTCTCCCAGCAAGGAAGGAGCAGAGTGGGCCTTCCAGCCCAGCCCAGGGTGGTTTGATCCCCTGATACCAGACTCAGATACTCCGCTCAAGAGGGCAGTAAGAGAAAGCTTTGGACAGTATCCAGCAGAGGAAAAAAAAATGCAAAATCTTTCTTGTGATCCAGCTTTCTTCCTCTGTGTGTAGGATCAAAGGCCACAAAGCAACTTTTAGCATTCCAGAATTACAGGAGATGTGGGAAAGCTGAAGGGAAGACTCAGTCAGATAATTACAGTCTACAGCAGGGTGCAGAGGTAGCTGGACCAGGGCCAAGTTTGCATCGGATGGGAATGGGCTTAGGTCACCTTACCACTTTAAGCCTTTCCATTTCCCTTTCTTTGCCTGTCTTGGGGTATTTTATGTTGCCGATGTTAAGATACTGAGATGAGAGATAAGAAAATAGAGGGGCATGCTCCCCACATTGTTCTATCTGCTTACCCCTTTTCAGCACCTGGGAAGAGAGGTTTGGGCAGCATTCCTCAGTTCCCTTGTAACCGTCAGAGATTGCTGTGTGGTCCCTCCAAATTCAATTGTACCATCAGATCCTCTAAGCACTGCCCTTCCCAAAGGTATGGTTGAAAGTGTAACTAATAGTTGGAAACTATTTTAAGATCCACACTAATGCCTGGCTTACGATCACAAATACAGTCTGACTTCCTGAACTGCACAGATATGCCAATCCCCACTTTATAACCCACTGTTCACTTTATTACTTTTCTTAACCCTTTCCAACACCTGCTGATGATTCCTGGATCTTTTCTCCGATTAGCCCTGAATCCACACGCGGCTGCTTCCCTTGTGTCATTCCTATTTGAGGACAAAGCTATGGCCATGAATAAACAATGTTGGATGCACAGAGAGTGGTCAATAAATAGCTGTTGAATGAATGAATGAAGCAATGAGTAGAGCAGGCTCAGACAGCCGAGCTAGAGATGTAGGGGAGGATTATCAAGACATTTCTGAATTTCTCTCATCATGTAGCCTCCTAAGAACAGAAGGCAGAATGAATAGGTTTGTAGGGCTCTCAGAGACCTCGCCAAGGGCTTGACTTGAATTTCTTCATCTCAATGTCAGCCCTTGTGCCTCACCCCCTACAAAGCCAAGCTAAGCCAAAGAGGGGGAGAAGTTTGCATATTTGGTTGAAAGCTTGATGCAGCTGTCCCAGACAAACAGAGCTACTGCCAAAGGCCTCCACCAGGAGCTAAGGGCAAGTGGAAAATTTTAGCTGCAATGACTGTGGCTGTGATGGAAGCAATTTGTTATTTACTCAACTCTGGATATTTTCCTAACTCTATTGGTTGGGTCTGACTCCTTCCCCTACTCCTCCCGGCCCCCATGAGGGCAGACACTGCTGGCCACAGAATATTCTTAGCACTTGGAATGCCAGTTGGGCCCCAACAAAAACCTCTGTCTGCCACCTCATTATCCTTCCTTCATTTCTCTCCCTCCCCCTTTCCCTCTCCTCACTGAGTCTGTTCTCTTCAGCTCCTTATGTGTCTAGGGGCAAAGGATGATACATTCGGGAATCCAGAAATCTCCATCCCTTCTGAAGTAAGGAATAAGCCAGAAGACACTGGGGAGTTCCTGTTTAAGAGAATGTGACCTGTATTGTCATTAACATCTTTGGCAGAGAGGGACTATAAAAATCTTGTCCTATAAGTAAGGTCTAGGGGAGACAGAGGGAGGGAGAGACTGAGAGAAAGGGTGGGGGGAAAGGAGGGAGAGAGAGAGGAAGCTGAGTGCAGAAGCAGGTGAGATAGTGGCCTCAAAACCATGTTGTCCAACCCTCTCGTGCTTGTGCTGATGCAGCCTGTTTGCAAATGTCTCTGGTTTGCCTCAAAAGCCTCCTTTAGTAGCCAGTTGCAATGATTAACCATCTTTGTTGTTGCAAATAGTTCTTTATTTAATTTAAGTGTCTCTTGTTGCAGTCTAACTCTCCCTTCTCCAAGACTTAGTCTAGGCCCTGCCTTCCTTGGAAATAATGAGCAACAGGTCCTAAAACTTACCTGCATACCATGTTGGTGTCACTGCTGGAGTGAGGAAGAGCAGGAGAGATAGAGCTCCTCTTAGGGTTAGTTGACCGGCCATCCTTGAAAGGAGTCGGGATGAGGGGAGGTTAGGGAGATAAGAATAGAGATATGTGGCCAGAAGTACCAGGGAAAAGGAAAATATCTTTCAGAAATCAGCCATCAGTGAACTTCCAAAAGTGAGAAGAAGCAGAAATGCAGGATCTGTGAGGAAGAAGAGAAATTTTTAAATTACTGAATGCTTGTTATATTGTCCCCTTTGTAAGGATCTTCTGCTTTATAAGAGTAACAAGATTCTATTTGTTATTTCTGATTTCTTTTCCTCCCAGGAGGAGGATGACATAAAACAATCAATTCTCAATTAACCCTGGTGGGATCAGATGCCAATGTTCCACTGTCCAAGTTATAGAGAGGGACATGGAGGAGTCAAGATCAGGAGAGGTCCAACATAAAGTCATATAGAGCCAAGAGGGAATCCTGTGATCTAAAAGCTGTCAGTTGATGGTTTCATCCATTTAACTAGTATTTCCTAACCACTAATCTGGGAAAGCATTAGTGTGTCTGGACTAAGAGCTCTTGAACTCTGGAGTTACACAGATCTGTATATGCGTCCAATTCTGTCCTTATTAGCTATGGGGTCTTGGACAACTTCCTTAACTTCTCTGAGCCTCAGTTTCCTCACCTATAAAATGGGAATAATAATAGTATCTATCTTACAGAAGAGATTATTGCCTGGCACATAGGGAAGCAATAAATATATATTAGATGTTATTATACTCAACTTTGTATTAGACAGGACTAGATGTTTCCTTTCTCTAGTCTCTCAGGCCTTAACTATGGCCTGGCTCTTTTTTTGCCTTTGGGTTTTGAGACTTAGTGGTTTGGTAGTGGCTTCTGGCTTTTGAGTCCAGCCTAACCTTCTAGTATTATTCTGCTGAGCCAGCAGGAAGTCAGCGAGGTTGGGAAGAACCTATTGAGGTACGTGAGGAGAGGGCAAGCAAGCTCCAGTTGCCCTCTCACTTCCTGTCCTGTCCTCACTCTAATGCGATGAGAGTTTTGTGGTTCCCAGTAAGCAAATACTTCGTACAAGACAGTATTAAAACTTGCTGCCCATTAGTATAAACTGGCCACTGAACTTCTCAGCAAGCACCCATTCATCCACATGTTCTCAATGAAATGCCGTGCTCAGGGGAGGAGTCACTCCCAGAAATGGAGAAACAAAAAGATAGCAGATTCTGGCCAGAGTCCTTAAGGGACATGAGAAGTCGAAGAATGGCAAAAGTTCATTTTCCAATTCATTGCTACTTGGCTTCAGATTTTGTCCAGAGACTGGCAAGGAAGCAGGATAGGAAAAACAACAACAACAACAACAACAACAAAAAACCAACTGAGAACAAGCGAGGGAGGCAAGCTAGAAAGAAAAGAAAATCTGCCAGGGTTGAAGGCAAGAGATAAAAGCAGAAAGAGGGAAGAAAAGGACAAGAAAAGGGAGGTTAAAGAGAGATCCAGCAAAATGAACAGCTAGGTAACCTAATCACCACCCCCTCTCACGCATGCATCCTCAGTGCAATTCCTTGGCTGTGGAGCTGGGGCTGTCCTATTCAGACCCACTCCTCTATATCTGTCACTGCTTCCCTGCCCTCCTCCTGCCCCGATCTGAGGCTGAAAACCTGACTCGCAGAGTCAGCCACCCCCTGCTGCAGGCCGGGAAGGTAGTGGGGACCTGTGTCTGCAGCCAGGTCATGGCTCAAACGGCAAGCAGCATATGATCCAGTTTCATAAAAGAACGCCCCCTCCCCCACCAGCCATGTTGCTCATGTCCTGGGTCTCATTACCCGCCACGGTTGCGAAATGAGGTAATAGAATGTGGAGGGTTAAGCAGCAGATCTTACCTGTTTTATACTTTTTTGGTGCTCTCTTTCTTTCTCCTTTTTCTCCTTGCTCTCTGCTCCTCTCATCAGTCGGAAAAACTTCTATTTTAACATTCCTAGAACGAGTGGCTCTTGGTCTGTCCGGGCCTCCGGGATTCTGTTAACACTGCCCAGATGTGAGGACATCCGCATTTGCCAAAAGTTTCCTTAAAGCTATATTATCCCCAAAGCTATAAGCTATTCCTCCCTCAGAGAAGGGTTTTAGAGGAGTAGGGGAGAAAGAACACAAGGATTAGAGGCCCACAGCCCGTCTGCCCCGGAACAGGGGGAAAGTGTGAATGGCACTGGTCCAGATCCCATGAGTATAGTAATGACTAACAGAGGCTGCCTGAAGGGCCTCCAGAGATGCGGTGTACTGAAGAACCCTTCTTCTTATGACTCAGCATGACATCAGGATCGAGTGAAAAGGAATTTCGAAAAATCCAACGAACGGGGAAGATTGTAGCCGACTTTGAAATTCCCTACAGATTTCCCCAGTAATTCCTTCGTACTTCCCAACTCAGAGTCGCCTTGCCATCCATATACACAGGGTCAAACACACTTTGAAACTCTCTCACTGATGATCTAACGCCCATGGACTTCAGTTTCTGATAAGATTACGTTGTTTACAAAAATTACCATGCACTTTTTGCCTGAAGGATCAAGACTGATTTCCTGTAATAAGAGTGGAGGGAAAGCACGCTTAGAGAGGCTCTAGTGGGAGGCTGTTTAAGCAAACCTCCATGATCTGTGCATGGTAAGGTCATAGCTGCGGCTAAGCTGTTTCCCAGTGACCTCTGACGGAGGGATATGCTTCGCTAAGCAAGCTTTCTTTTTAGTATCTGGTAATGAGAGTATTCTAACATAGCACGGACCAGCTTCCTACACTCTCCCGCCTCTCAGAGTGGACATTTTTTGTCCTTGAAAAACCAGTGATTGTGGAAGAATTTTGTTTAGATGCTGTAGAAAGGGTTTCTTCCCTGTGTGTGCAAGCAACCTGGCAACACCTTCTCAGTTACAAAGGGAAGAATTGTGCTTCTGTTAATATAAAGTTCAGTAGCAAGCCTGTTTCATGTCCAATCCACCAATCAGAAATATGCATTGAGTGTCTAACAGTGTGACAGTGGTATAAAAGACTGAAGACATGATCTTGGCCTCATTTATTCAATAAATTTATCATGCTTCTACTGTGTTAAGGAGGGTGGACAAAGACAAAAATCCCTGACATCGTAACACATAATTAATTCAACAATATTTATTGAGTGTCTATTATGTGCCACACACTGTTTTAGGTACTTGAGAAACATCAGTGAGCAAAAGAGACAAAAATCCTTGCCCCCATGGAATGGAGGAGGCAGACATTCAACAAAAATGTTCTTTTTTAAAAAAGATTTTATTTATTTGACAGAGAGAGAGTGAGCACACAAGAAGGGGGAGCAGAGGGAGAGAGAGAAGCAGGCTCTCCGGTGAGCAGGGAGCCCGATGCAGGGCTCGATCCCAGGACCCTGGGATCATGACCTGAGCCGAAAGCAGCCGCCTAACCGACTGAGGTACCCAGGCGTCCCTCAACAAAAATGTTCTTGATTACAACCGTGTGCGTTTAGGGAATTAGCCTTCACTGGGCATCTACTATAAGCTAAGAAGGGGGAACAGAGGTGAATATGAACTGTGTGATCCTTCATCTAATGAAGCTTACTCTCCAGGTCCCAGAGGGTTTATGTTTAGGAGGGGAGATAAGAGGGACACAAACAATTCAAAAACAGTACAAGACCACATAAAAGTCTAAAAGCTATGGTATAAACTGTGAGGACCCTGTGAATGCTCTGTGGGAAGAGGTAGGCCATGGTCTGTTCTCAGGCAAGGGAAATGACATAAACAAGAGCTCATTGTTAGGTCAGAGGGGGATGGGCTAACTGGTTAGAGGGATCAAGAGAGTGATAGGGAACAAAATTGAATAAATCGAGTACAGCCAGATTGTGAGGCCTTTGAAATCAGATATGGAAGTTTACTCTAAACTCACATGTTAAGAAACAGTAAATCTATTCAGTGTGTGTGAGAGAGAGAGAGAGAGAAAGAGAGAGAGAGATGGAGAGAGAGGTGAGAGAGAGCACAGAGGAATATATTCTTCTAGAGTTGTTTTCTTAAAAAACAAAACAAAACAAAACAAAAAAATCTCTTTACCGCCCCCCCCCCTTGGCAAAGAGTATAGTCCGAGCTCTCAGCAGGGCATACTATGTCCTTCACAAGCAGGCCCCATCTATGTCCTCAGCCTAGTTTTACACATTTACCCCATGACTTGTTCTAGACATACTGAACTTCTTGCTCTTCCTTTCATACTTTGGTGGCTTTGCACAGATATATTTACTCTACCCTGTATTCCTTTCCGTCCTTTCCTGGACTGTTGAAACTGTATCCATCTTTGCTGCTGAGAAGTTCCCCTCAGCCCACCCCAGGCAGATCTGGTTTGCCTGCCTTTTCTATCACATCACTTTGTACATGTCTCAATTATAGGTTTATCACACTTAATGTCATTGTACACCCATGACAATTTCTGTCCCCTACTCTACTAGTTTGTTCATCTCAGACTCATCTCTGTCCCTGCCTAGACTGTGAGAGCCTAGGGGGCAACAGACTTGCCTTAGTCTTCATCATTTCCCCAGCACCCAACACAGAGCCCAGCACATGCTAGGCCGAAGATGCGGCATAAGGCCTCCTGTCCCACTCAGAGCTGGAAGGAGCAGGACAGAGGGGTGGCAGAGAGAAGTTAAAGAAGAAAGGGAAGGCGGAAAATATGGAAATCATAGGGAGAATAAAGTAAGGGGATAAATAAGAGGGACAGCATCACTGAAGCACAGAGATGGGCAATAGGAAGAGCTTATGCTAAACAAGGGGGACTAATTAAAAAAAAAACAGCATTTCTTCAGCCCCTACTATCTGTGGATAACACTGTATTAAACACTGTGGGGTATAAAGTTAAATAAACCACCTCTTTGTATGATTTAGTTGGGAAGATAAGACAAAGACACACAAAGAGACCGACAACAGCTATATATACACATGTAAAGTTCTTGAAGTTCAGTACCATTTTCAATGTCAAGACACTGAGTATGAAGTTCTTTAGCAGGCCAATAAGGTATTGTTTTAAGAAATATTAGATATGGAAACTGACTTGCCTAGGTAAGATCTCAACAAAGCTTAACAAAACTAAACTAGAAACAACTTTTCTTTTTTCTTTTTTTTTTTAGAAACAACTTTTCTAGAATACCAACTAAGGCAAATTGATATGAAATTGTGAATTTTAATAATCATTTAAGAGTTTCTCATTTGTATGTGTCCCAAACTGTGTATTATGAACTTTTTTGAGGAAGGAAAGATCAGGGCTGACAAAGGAGGAAAGGATTCATGGAGAATCTGAAAGGAGTAGATGGGAAAAAAGTGAATGAAAACTAGATGCAGAAGAGAATTTCAGAAAAGGAGTAATGAGAATACACAAGAGACAACAGGAATAAAGATATTCCTATTCGGGAAACTAAGTTTTAAAACTGTACATACAAATTATCTATTTAAATGGTGATGTTCAAATTATCTGTTTAAATGATGTTTATCTGATGGCTGTAATTGAAATATGAGACTTTAAGAAAATAAGCAGGACGTGCTTTTAAATTTTATGATGGGCACTTAGCCAAAGGTAATTGAAGGGATTCTAGAAAACTTATTAGAAAATGAAAATGGGAAGGACATTATGTGAATAAGAGATAAGATGTATTCTGAGTGAGATAGTTGAAGTTTTTTCACTGGTTCCTAAGACAGGGAGTGGTAATGTTCCAAGACATTATCCAGCAGCTCAACTTAATTGTTTTGTTTATGACAGTGTGATACTGGGATGGCTTAGACATTCAGTTTATTTAATTTAATTAATCAAACCTCAAGTCACTACTAAGTGGTTAGTTTCAGAGACCAGCTATGACCAAGGAGGTCAACAGGGATTGGCTGAGCACTAAACGAGCTCATCAATTGAGCATTGTGTCCTAGGGCATTGGGGAGAGGATAAAAGGGGGCGCAGGAGCCTGCCAGACTGGCTCTTCAGTAGTTTCTGAACATGTAGATAGCAGGAGTAAGGCAGGTAAGTAGAAAAGAAAGCAGGTACCCTTCTAATTAACTCAGGGTCTGAGTTAGTGTGAGCGGTCAGACGATGAGGTCTGATACTAGACAAAGAGGTGTGTGTGGGCAGGGGTGGGGGGTATGGATAAAGGGGGCAGAGGAATGCTCTCATTTGAGCTGGGGTTGGGATGTGCTTTGAGTAGGGAGTAGGAATTCTGTGTGAGGTTGGAGACTGGGACGGGAGCTGGGGACAGATCTTGTTTATTGGGAGATAGTCATACTGGTTTACTGTGGAACAGAAAATTCATGTTGGAAAAGCAGTAGGAAATAAGCTGATACCAGATTTGCTGGGGGAGGCATGGTTTAAATGCCAAAGAACAACATTTAAACTTAATCTTGAGGGTTACAGGAGATTAATAGGGAAGGGACACAAATCTCTACTAAATATCGAATGTAAAACAAACAGCAACAATACTTAAGGAAAACATTTTCCTTGTTCCTAAATTTTCAGCATCAAACATGTATCTTTGTGGTCAGAGAGAAGGAGGAAAATAGATTGGACCAGAAAAAGTATTGAACTCTCTGCCTTGCCACTCTGGGATGGGCAGGGTTACTCCTTAGGTGATTGGGCTACTGGAATGAAGGCAAAAGTAAAACTCAACAAAAACCCCAAGTACAAGGCAGAACTGGGGAGATCATTGAGGTTCTTGTGCTTCAGGGACTTTTCAAAGCCCTTGTTTGTGGCTAAATGTCTGAATACAGCGGTCTTCGCTTGGATAATTCCCAGCCAAGACAGCTGTTTATTCAGTGGCAGCCATGTCTCATCACAGAGTGGGCCCTGTTTCTGGTGAGAGAGACAGAAGTTGGCAAAGTTTCATCCGAGGCAAGTTAGCCTCTTTGAACCTGTTTCCTCATCTGTAATATGAGGGCAGCAGCAGTCTTGACCTCACAATGAGGGCTTTTGTGATGTATGCGTGAGGTACCACCTACCAAGTGCTTAGCAACGGTGGTTGCTACATAGTCCATGCTCAGTACTACAGTTACTATATATAATAGAATGTAATATCAATAACACAATTAAGTATTACAATATTAATACTTTAAAGAATAAATGTATCTTATGACCTAGAGAATTACTATCTACATTGCCTTAGATGGGATTGGATACCCCTTTGGTCTGGGTTTGGGCCCAGACCCAGGCCTAAGTTTGAAGTAAAGCGAACTCTTCTGGGTTTACTGGTATGGGAGGGTGGGAGGTGGTGGTGCAAGGTGTTGTGGCCATAGGAATATTAAATTCCATGTCAGCCTTTGGCTTAATTTGGCACTCCAAACAAAGCAGCGTTGTAGCGGCAGAGGAAGGGAGAGGCGGAAAATCAACACATTCTTGGAAATAAGATGTGGCTTTTGCTTTGACTATTTTGTTTTCTCTTGAGCTAAAAAAATATTTCTTCGTTCTTGGGCTCACAACGAAAATTCCTTCCAGACCATGGTAGAAACCTAAGCTTCAGAGGAAGGTTCCATTTAAGATGACGAAGAGTTAGCAAGACTTCCCTTGATACTTATTTTAATATGAGAACCCCTCAGAGAGAGTTATTTAGCCTAGGGAGAAAGCTTTGCATTTACTCGGAGCCTCCCTCAACCTCATTTCTTGTGGTTATGGCATGTGTGTTACTTTCAAAATTGACATCTGCTATATTTCCTGAATAACGTTCCTTCAGTGTTTGTAGGTGTATAGTTGTATCATTTACCCACTCTCTCCATGTGTTTATATGTTAAAGTTTTAGGGTAAAATTTTAGTATAAAGACTGTTGGTGCAATATTCATTCTCCAGTAGTTGCTCTCTTGGACCTCAGACATCTGGCATGTTGCTAGAGGAGCTGGTCCCAGGTCAATATTCGAGGTACAGGGAAGCTCTGTGTGACCAGGTCAATGGAACTTTCTTGTTTTTCTGGTTCTGTGGTATATGCTTAAAGCAAGGTTTCAAGCAAAAAAAGTTTGGGTATCACCTCTCCTTTCACTATACAATACAAGAGCAATACAGGAAACACCCACTGTGACGTCGAGCTTGTGTCAATTATGATGCGATGGACTGCACAGGGAATGGATACTGTCTTCAAGAAACAGCACACACTCACTGGACACTCAGTCTCTGCCCTCAAAGAGCTTACACTTTAGTTGAGAAACCAGACCTTAATACATACTCTGTGCTGTAATATTGACCAACCTGTTCATGATACAGAACATGGAAACATGGAGCTACCTACATACATGATTTAATAGGAAAAAAATACACTTCCATACTTCAAATTGCCATCCATAATTCACTAGGAATGTCCAATGATAAACTTTTCTTAAGAGTTTACTTGTTTTTGGTTGACATTTCAATGCTCTGTGTCTCACCACATGGATAAAGGAGCATACAGATCTATAGTATTGTTGGTGTTAGGTATCAACTCAGATTTCCTAGAAGTAACTATTTTTTTCTCATAGGGATATATTTTTATGGAGGGAGCAAGAAGGTCCAGAGAAAGTTTCACAAAGTGCATATTTTCCACTAAACAGAAAATTGAGTCTTGACACCCAGTAGTGATCTTTCTTTTCTCCCTGATTACACCTGTCCTGAATTTCTAGAAAGATGAATGCTAGGGATCAAACTAATGTCCCTGAGTAAAATGGGAGACCAGGATGCCTATAGCACTTCATTAATTCATTTGTATTTAATTCATTTTGTAAATGTGTTTTGAACCTGACTAGATAAAAAAGACCTCCCTATTCTGAGGTTCCTATGAAAAGTAAATGACCTATTCGAATTGAGGGCAATTTGAATGGCTCATTTGGTCACTCTTGAAGCCTAAAAGGTGCCAGAAAGCAGGAAACAGTAAGTATCTATAATGCCTAGGCTCATTTCTTTTCTCCCCTGTAACAATAGGCATAGAATAAATCCGTTTTTGTATCTACTAGCTCAAATAACTGCACTTAGTCTTGTGGGCTGAGCAAAGCACATGCACATGCGTCCTTTATGAATTAGAGACATCCCATTACACAGATGTATCAGAGAACTTTACCCTTTAAGGCTCTGCTGATTTGCATAATCCAAATTTTCTAGGCCTTTCAACTATCCGAAGACTTGTCTTTACATTTAACCCTTCCTAAAGCTAAGCCCCAAACAAAAAGCGCCTCAGCTTTTATCACCAGGGTTTAGGAGATCGTGAAGAGGGCTGTTTTTTTATTCCATTTTACCCCTAAGATTGACTCAGGGCTGCCTCAGGACATATGGGACAGAAAACTTTTTCGTGATTCATTCCCATTCCGTAAGCAGTTTAACTCCTTAGGAACACATAGTCTTAAGTTCTAGGAAGATCTAAGCAATTGGGAGAATTTTAGGGGAATGGACAGACACTCTACAACCCAATACCGTCTGTAGCTTGTGTTTAACAGAGGAGGGGACTGAAACGCACAGCGATCTCTAGTTTTGGCTTTGCTCTTAGCTGTGTGACTTTAGGTTTCAGCCTCCTAGAAAAAGAAATGAGCCTAATTCCCCCCACTCAGGTAGATTTCACTTTTCCTCAGTTTGTGTCTAAAACCCTATGACTGTACGTGTCGCTTTGCAATCCGCTTTGTTTCTCTTTGGAACTATGTTTCTTGGGAGTATTATTGAGCCATGTAATGAAATATGCTTCGGTCACTTTTAACCTCTTTTCATTCCTTTCTTTCCCTCTAGGGCACCAGGGGCCGGCGAGGCCGAATCTCAAAGCGCTGCTGGCGCTCCTGGTGATAGAATAATATGATCAAGTTATAAGGGCGGGGGAGAGATGGGGGGGGCGGGAAAGATTCAGAGAAAAAATGAAGAAAGCTCCACTTGAAGATCGAAGGAATTTCCGGCACTAGAACCGTTGCATACAGTTCTCGGTAACCTGCAGCAGGGGGCGCTCGGAAATTGTCGTCACTTTCCGGGTAGCCTCCCAAGACTTTACCCTCTAGAAAATTGTACAGTGTTTCCGGCTTTTCTCAGTTGTAGACGCTCGTAAGTTTCCGGCAGTTTCCGGGGAGACTCGGGGACTCTGCGTCTCTCTCGCTCCGCTCCGAGTGCCCGGTGCGGCGGGGCAGGGTTTGGGGCTAGTCATGGCGTCCCCGTCTCGGAGACTACAGACCAAACCAGTCATTACTTGCTTCAAGAGCGTCCTCTTGATCTACACTTTCATCTTCTGGATCACTGGTGTTATCCTTCTTGCCGTTGGTATTTGGGGCAAGGTGAGCCTGGAGAATTATTTTTCCCTTTTGAATGAGAAGGCCACCAATGTCCCCTTCGTGCTCATTGGTACTGGTACTGTCATTATTCTGTTGGGCACCTTTGGCTGTTTTGCTACCTGCCGAGCTTCTGCATGGATGTTAAAACTGGTGAGTCCTTGTTTTCCTTAGAATTGATTCTTGATTTTAGAAAAGTCTTATATGTTGTTGGCTTTGTTTCTTGAAACCGGCCACGGCCCTTTATGATTTCTCCTCTTTCTTCCCAGAGTAACATTTCTGCTACCAATTCCCACTTTTGTTGTGTTTTCCCTGTCCTTTTTAATAAAAGCATGCTGAACTGATTGAGCAGACTATTTTTTTTCTTTGACTCCCCTTGCAGCTGCGATGTATCTTATTTATGCTGACTTGGACTTTCTTTTTATCCCACAGTATGCAATGTTTCTGACTCTCATTTTTTTGGTTGAACTGGTCGCTGCCATCGTAGGATTTGTTTTCAGACATGAGGTAAGCCTGAATTTGGGAACCTTAATATGTTAAAATTTATCCTCCCAGAGATAAAAACAGTTAATGGTTCAGAAATCACTTCTAAAACTTTCTTTTCAAACTGTAGCTGACAATAGTGGCTTTCTTGTAAAAATTCTAGCCCACGTTTAATATAAAAAAAAATTTAGAAAATTGTAGACTGTTACCAGAAGAAAATTACAGGTACCCATAATTACATGTATTTCCAGTTCTTTTTCTGTGTACAAGTACCTGTTAAAGTGGAGATAGTACAATTTATAACCTTACTGATAGAGGAAAATATTTAAGGCACAAAATTGATAACACAACTGTGTTCTCCCTTATGCCATGTGTTTAAAAAAATTGGATATACTTAAGGCAAATCATCAAAACTTTATTGAAGTAGAAATTGGGGTTCCACTGTTAAAACTGGGGTTGGGAAATCCTTCAGTGAGTAGTGAAGGCTCCTCAATGAGAGTGTTTTACAAAGTGGTAGTGCAGTCTCCCAAAGTAAGGTTTTGTAGCTTAAGAATCCTGTAGGCATCAAATTTGTACTTAATTTAAAATAGAGAAAAATTGGGGGAGGGATACAGCAGTACAGAGCTGCCACTTGAATGAAAGCTCCCATAGCACTTTGAACTTGAGCAGTTATCTTTTATTGTAATGTTTTGCTTAGTAATCCCCTCAGCTACACTGCAGCTCAGAGAAGACAGGATTGGACCATAGAAGTTAATTACCATACGTGTTGCTGCTGTCAAAGATAATATCCGTTAGTCAGATGTGGGGGATTTTTTTATTTGGCCTAGAAACCCAAAGAACTTTCTAGAATCTTTATTTACTGGCATTGTGTTTCTTTGCTGTAGATTAAGAACAGTTTTAAGAATAATTATGAGAAAATTTTAAAGCAGTATAACTCTACGGGAGATTATAGAAGCGATGCAGTAGACAAGATTCAA